TGTCAACGTTTATTTAATGTCACATGAGACCGGTATCTCGGGTATGATATCCCAACTGACAGCTTATATTTTTTTATACTATAGTGTAACCCGAGATATGTAATCATAATTGTAGGTTTGATAAGCTAAAGGGCAAGTATTACAGAAATTCTTGAAGTTATGCCTCTTTCCCCCTGGAACTGGACACTTTGATTGCCATGGTATTGGTACCCTTCCAACCTTACAGAAAACTAGTCTCCAATATGTATATTCCAGCAAGATGGAGCTTAATGTGGTCTTTTTTTTAATAATAAAGTACTAGTGAAGTGTACATGGCCTGATGGATAATGTCAGTTTCACATGGCCATGCGGTACAAAGTACACTTTGCCTGGAATGAATAGAACAGTAAATAATGAGAGCGACACACCCTCGAGAGACAAAGTCCCAAACCAAGGTATCATACAAACCCCACAAATCGAGGGGGGGGGGGCAGATCCTCCTATTTTAGCACTTCATGTCAACTGCCGCAACAACTTTGTTCTGTTGAATTGGTGTGAAAAACATATTTTAACTAGTGCTATAAATATAGATGGTGTTAATTTTATTTATAACATTATTATTACTATAATATTATAAACATTTGTAATAGCAAAATAAGATAATGTTAAACATTTTCATAAATCGATGAACAGGGTGAATGAGCAAGACAGGCGGTACTTGTAACTGGCTCATTGTTGATTTAGTACAAGTGTAGCCATCTATGTGTAAAGAAAATTAAACAAGTAAACTCACAATGGGCATGGCATGTATGTACATGTCATGCCTGTCAGCAAAGGGTTAACCCCTTCCCGACAGGTCATGCTGTGAGGCATCAAAAATCTGTGGCGTATAGCTGTACGCAGTGGTGGCGCACCAAAGCACTACAAGCCGGTGATTCGGCGTGATGTACCGAACTCCCGTGCTCAAAGTCAGCGTATTACAATTGATCTTCAGAGCATATTTTTTTTTTTTTTTTTTTTTTTTAGTTTACTTCACCCGTCATCAAGGGGTTAACTAGAAAACCTAAATAATTTTTTTAGTATCACACAGCCATCCAATCTTTATTATTCCGTCTTTCAGTTATCAATGTTGTAATATGCATGAATCTCTTGTTATTTTCCATTGCAAATTATATAATTGGAAGTCCTCCTTACTCCAGCCTTTCCTGGGAAATACTCAAACATCATGGTATCAGCCAAAAAAAATCCTCCACACTTGGGGGCTTTGCCTTGAGACCCCGTCTGATCACCATATTGCTCTATGAAAGGCTCCACCCTCTGAACCCCACCCGACTGCAGTGGACATGCTCTCCATGGGATTTGTCATGATCAGTTTTCTTCATTTCTGATATTTTTTTCCTATACAGATTATTCAGTGTATTAGAGGGTGTAGTTTTTCTCATTGATTATTACAATTCCATTTTTCCAGTTTTCCTGTAAATGTACATCAAAGTGTTATATGTTGCACAACTTTCTTATTATCAACTGCAAAGATAATACCATAGATGAAAGGGGTTAATTTTTACTGCATAGATGTACTAAGCTGGAGTAAATTGAAGATATTCTTGTAAAGAATTAAAAGTTGCACTCATTGATACAAAAATAATCTGCAGACATGAACGGTAACACCACAAATAAAAAAAAGATTGTGAAAAGTACAACTCAGTTTCAGTTCTATCTTGCCATATATACCAAAGTGAAGACAAAGTTTGTCAGTGAGTGTTATGGGGGGGACCATCCACCACCCCTAGTGCAGTGCTTTGAATTTAAAGGGCAAGCCCAATCATGGCTACATAGATTGTTGAATAAATTTTTTGACTTAAGAGTTAGGGACATAGTCTCTTGTGAGTGTGACTGCACTGTAAAGAATTTTCATGAAGTGTCTTATTTTAAGTCATTCTGTCCATTACAGGCAAAATTTACCTTGTACTACATGGCGGTGGGAAACTGAAACTATACTAAATGTAATAACTCTATCATAAAGAAAAGGATAATACACTCACTGATATATGAAATAATTATTGCAGGCAAAGAATAACATCAGAAACTAAGAAAATAAGCTGTGACTAATGCCGCATATACTGCATAGATGTACTAAGCTGGAGTAAATTGAAGATATTCTTGTAAAGAATTAAAAGTTGCACTCATTGATACAAAAATAATCTGCAGACATTGGAATAGGTCCAAGGGCATAACCCCAGATTGGGAAATACAATGATTGGGTGGATGTCTGGGGCACAAAGCCTCTGGGTTAGATTTTGATTTATATGGCAATGTTTGTAGATTCCTGGTAGTTTATGTTTGATTAACTCTATTATGATGAAAATCAAAATGTGAAATTTAACGTATGTAATTCATGTGTAAGGTATTACATATAGCTCACAGGGGCAGTTTGTATAGGAAGTGATAGAAAGGGACACAGGTTATAAATATATTGCTGTTTCTTTTAAACTTTTCAGTTTGAGCACTAAGGATTGTGCCTTGAAATCTATTCTATTTTATTCTTTATTTTTAATGTACAGGAAGTGTGTCAGACTCACGGCTTTTGAGCCAGATGTGGCCCTCATGATGATCATAGATGTTCAGATTGCACAGATTCTGTATCATCTCACTAGGTAGTCTAAAACTCAGTCCAATATTAATAACAATAAGTTACATTTTGTTATTTTAGTAATTTTTTATTTTTTTGTTATACTGAATCTTCTATAACACACTGCACTGCCAGTCACAGCTGGCAGGAATAGGATTCTGAGCATAGAAATAGCATCCTCCCTGGAGCCGATGCTCTTGCATGCCAGGCTCACAGATATATGATACATACCACACTTGTTTACTGATGAAATTTATGCAAAAGCCCATTCCTAAATGCCCACTCAGCCTAATTACCCTCCATGAGCACTGTGCACATATGATGAGTCATTCCCATCAGCCCGGCCCTCAGCTGAAATTCTCATGACAGCAAGTTTCCATCACCCTGGCCCTCAGCCAGCATTTGCATGTTCACGTCACTTTCCCCTCAAGCCAATTTTTTTTAATGACAAATTGTAGAGGTTAACTTTTTTTTTTTTTTCTAAAACTGTCATGTAGTTTTTATTGTTATTAAACTTTTTTTTTTCCACAAATTCAAGGAATAAGGTAAAAAGGGGATCAGGTAGGCCTAGGAACTAACTATTTGGTGACTAAATACTTATGGACCCATCTGTGTGTAAACCAAATTAATATACTAAAATCACAGTGAACAGGACATTATAGGTTACTTTAACCCAATGGGGTCGGGTTAAGAAAACAAAAAAAAATCTATGCTCTGGTGATCCATGGCAGTGCACTGACTTTGAGGGCAGTATATATTTGCATGCATTTTTGTGTGTGTGTCTGTGATTATCTAAAAAAAAATTCTGCCTTTTCATTCCAGGAGAGTGAGACAGGGCTTTATGTTTGCCTGAACAGTTTCTTTGGGTGGAGCAAGGAATACGTTGCCAAGTATTCAGAACGTTCAGGAAATTGTGTATTCTTACACATTAAGAGAATCAAAAGAGAGGTAAGTTCACTCCTAATGTATGGAAAACACTGCCAATAATGGTGTTAGGTTAGTACTTTTAGTTCTTGAGCTTATTATTGTTTATTATAATTTTTTTTTTTAACCAAAATCTTAGATCTATAGTTTAAATTTAAGAGTTTCATACTTACTTCAGGGGTCTTTGATTAAGAATTAATTTGTATTTTTATTAATTTTTCATATATATCTGCAACAATGAATGATTTTTCAACTGCTATTCAAAGAATTTTCTTTTTACACTTTCAGCTTCCCCCAGAGAAAGAACCAGAGCCCGACAAAAAAATAGCCCGCTTGGCAATTGGTGTTGAAGGTGGCTTTAACCCTGATGCAAACAAGAAGAAATTTGAATACGAAGACACTAACTCTGTTGTGATTCTTCCAGCCTTTGATGTCATACCCCTTCCAAATCCTGAGCTCCCAGAGCTTGTAAGTCATTTGTATCTTTTCCCTTCTTTACAGCACCTTGTTCTCTCATGTGTAGGAATTGAGTATAAGGGAAATAAAAAGTTTATTCATATTACTGAGTTGATTAATATTTCTAGGAACTTGAAGGAATTACATGAAGCTTTGAACAAAAAGTTATAACAAATGTGTAGTTATGTTCAGTGTTTATAAAAATTAGACATAACTACCTACCTTTTCTCATTGTGGTCTTAGATAGCATTTGTGGCTGTGTGCTTAAAGGACTTCATAAATAGACTTTATACCTCAGTGGTGTGCTTACACATTGCGATTCCACAGTTATGCAAGAACAAACTGTAGAACAAAATGTAACAAGATAAAAGGTGATTTACATTAGTTTGAAATACAAATCCAATGGATTCTTTTCATTTTATGCAAATTGCATCATTATCATGATAATATTTTATGAAGAAAATGTAGTAAAGTTTGTTGTTACCTAGCATGTTCTTTCTCAATATGTTTTCTCACAGAAAGTTTAAGGACAACAAGCTCTGCACCAAGACATGTATTTCCTTTGATATTGGGAATTTAAAGATTTAGGTTATATGAAGTAGCTTAATATTCTTCAAGAAATATTAGGAATGCACCTGTAAATATGTATATACAGTGTGACCGTGAAAGTGCATTTTAGGGCAAATATTTATTATTATGTCACATGGCAGCTCACATAATATGGCAACTGTAATATCACTTATGGGATGGCCAATAGTTAGAATAGAATGAGGAATGAAATAGTTATTGAATATGAATATTTTAGTTCTTAACTCCTAGAATAACATATTTTTGACACCATTGTATATTAATTCTAAAAGAAAAATAAAATGTTGGATAGGGACTTCTGAGGCATTGAATTACTCTTTCATTCACACAACAGAATTAGGTGTGGACTGTAGAAATGCTTTATCACTTACCCAAAATTTAAACTCAATATTTCAAATATCAGTGATGGCATTGTCCCACTCGGGGAAAGTAAGTAAAAAAAAAGAAAGAAAGAAAGAAAAAGAAAAGAACTGAACTGTAAAGATGTGCATTTTTATCCTTTAAGAAGGATCAAAAGAATCATTGCAATATCTAAAGTGATTATTTTTAACAAGCCTTTATCCCAAAGTCTACTCTGCTTTTTAGAGACTATTGTAAGGTATCTTTATCAAGATATATAAATTTTTAGGAATATAGGGGGGCAGTGTAGCATTTCAGAGCATTCTGTCAAGCTTTGTCAGGAAACTTGTGACACCGGAAATTTTGTTTAAGCATTCCAGTGTATGTGATATCCACATGCAGAGTACTCGGAGAACACAAATGAGTCTTGTATAAGCATATGGCCATTAGACAGGAAGTTGTAAGGTTAGATCAATTATCAGTTATTGTTTCACTTTTCATTCACTTTACACTTATTTATTCAGGTACAGCAGAGCATTAATGGAATACTGAAAGCAGAGTCTGCCTTGCATTTAGCAGAAGTAGAGGCTGCCGCAGGTGCTTGGGATGGAGAGATACGGCAAGTCACCAAACATGCTGACAACCTACAACAGCTTGACAATGGGGTTAAGGTATGGAGGATCCGAGTGTGTACTGTAGTAGCTGCTGCAAAAAATATTGACTCATTAATATTTGTTATCACTGCATTTTACTTTTATGCATTATATGAAAGAGCAAAGTATAGATACTTTATTTTGGAATTTCTTATAAGTTATACTGATCAGAAAGTTATCTTTATTGCAGATACCACCAAGTGGTTGGAAATGTGAAGAATGTGACAAGACTGATAACTTGTGGCTGAATCTCACAGATGGTAAGATTCTCTGTGGCAGACGGCAACTAGATGGATCAGGAGGAAATAACCATGCTGTGGAATACTACCAGAAAACAAGTAAGGACATTATATTGTGAAAAGAATGGTGGATGTTTTTTTTTCAACTTTTTCTTTCCTGTTGTTAGAAGAAGAGAGTTTTCTTTGCTTTCTTTTCCTTTCCTTAATTTAATGTGTATAGCAAAGCTAGAAGGCTTTGCTATATAGACACTCTATCAGTTATTGCTATATAGACACTCTATCAGTTAATTATCAAAAGGTTTTGAGCTTTTGTGGATAAATATATTCAGCTATCTAATGTACTGGACATTATTGTATTTATCATCCACATCCACATTATTTAGATACGAATATTTACATTCAGATATATACTGTTTTTATCATAGCTTCTTTCCTTTCCAGAATATCCACTCGCAGTGAAGCTTGGGACCATCACCCAGGATGGCAATGCCGATGTCTACAGTTATGATGAAGATGACATGGTTTTGGACCCTAACCTTGTTAAGCATTTAGCTGTAAGTGCTTGTTACTTTTGCCTTTATCCAGTTAACATTTTGTGCACTTATTTCTGTGTTTTTGTGTTCTGTATAATTGATTTTTGGCCACCTAGCTGTTCTATTCTTATTCATTATATGTGATTTCCACATTTCAGCACTTTGGTATAAATGTCAAAGTTATGGAGAAGACAGAGAAGACCATGTTGGAGCTAGAGATTGACTACAACCAGCGGGCCTGGGAATGGTCTCGCCTCACGGAGTCTGGGACAAAACTCCTCCCCAAATTTGGCCCAGGCTACACAGGTATGTTTGATTGCGTTTTACCATAACTGTCACGTCAATCTGTGCATCATCTCGGCAGTTTATTTAGCTTCCTTGTATGCTGAGAAAACAGAATCCTTGTTTGCCAAGCTGCTTGGTCCATAACCCATTGGATCCGCTTGTGTCACAGCAATCATGTGGCCCAAAATATGGACATTAGGCGTTTGTGAGCAGCTGCACTGATGGGTGTATGGCTTGTAGGCCGGCCCCACACAAACACTCGTGTGTGGTGACAAGACTATGCCTCCCTTTTGTATTGTTATCTTCTCTTTTTATGCCTAAGTGTATTTAGCTTTTATGTCATTTTCCAATGTCCATATTTGGCATTTAGTTTGCTTTATCCAGATGGTAATAGACTGTTTTCCTTGTACAGACTCCATATTATCTCTTTAGGGAGTCCATAACTCCATGCAAGAATAATAACAATAAGTAACATTTTGTTATTTGTGTCTTCTTCTTCTTCTTCTTTTTCTTCTTTGTTTATTGTAATATTCAATTTTCTGTAATACACGGCAGCCAGGAATAAGAAGCCAAGTATGGAAATGGTGTCCTCCCTGGAGCCAGCTCTCTTCCAGCCATGGCTCATGTACACTACATTCCACACTCGTTTATCAATGGAAATAATGGAAAAACCCCTATCCAAATGCCAAATGAGTAATAAACCCTGGCCCATGGACAAATTTTTTCATGACACAGTGGTCACGTCATATGGATTGTAAGGGATAATTGTACTGGCTGTGCATAACCACTTGGTTCCCAGAGGGATAAAGATTTTTATAAAGGATTCATTTTAACCCATTGGATTCGGGTGATGTGACCATCACGTTATGAAAAAGTCCAGGTTGAGGGGCAGGTGACATGAACATGCTGTCACAGGAAAGTCTGGCTGTAGGCCGGGTGACATGAACCTACTGGCATGAGCATTGCGTCTGATGGCCAGGGTGATGGAAAAGACTCCTCTCAAGTGCACAAACCTATTGGGAGGTTTATTTTATTCGTTTGGCAATTTTGCATTATTTCCATCAATGTATAAGTGTGGAATGAAATGTCCGTGATCAGTGACTGGAACAGCACCGGCTCCATGGAGGACATCATTTCCATGCTCAGTATCATATTCCGGGTGCAGGTTGTTTTACAGAAAATTGAATATTAGGTAAAAATGGAAAAAGGACAAAAGTAACATAGTGTTCCATAGTCTTATTCTTCTTGCATTGAATTGTAGATTACCTTGAGAAATGATTGGAGTCTGTGCAAAGAAAAAGAAAAAAATTGCCATCTGGATAATGCAAATCAAATGGTAAATATGGACATTGGAAAATGGCCATGAAACTAAAAATGCTAACGCGTTAAAGGAGTAAATAGGAGGCACAGAATCTTGTCACCATGCACATATGTTCGCATACGCCTGGTCTACAAGCAGCCACCCAGCAGAGCGGGCACTCATGTAAGCCTAATGTTCATATTCTTGGTGATGTGATTGCTGTGAACAGGATCCGATGGATTAAAGTGTGTTATGTCAGTTATTATTGTATAAACTCTTGTTTATTCTTTAGTATTGGGTAAGTGCCTTGTTATGAATATGTACATTGCTTTCAGGAATGAAAAATCTCGGCAACTCATGCTATGTGAATTCTGTAATGCAAGTGCTGTTCACTGTACCGAACTTTGTGGAGCGGTACTTTGCGAATGGTACAAATATCTTAGAAGGTTACCAGGGAAATAATCCTGCTGATGATTTCAACATTCAGATGTTCAAACTTTCCCATGGCCTTCTGTCTGGAAGGTAAGGAATTATTTTGGGTTGGAATGAGGATTTTTTCCTCTTTTTTTGGGTGTTTTTTTAGTTGTAGGTCTATTAAAATTGCTAGCAAATATTTTCTCTGATTATATGAAATATTTCATGGATTAATGTGCTGAGTGAGAGATTTGCACAATCCATAAAGATAACATTGTCCTCCATACCTCTAGGTACTCAATTGCACCTCCCAATGTCAACTTAGAAGAAGCTGTTGATACAGATGACCTGCAGCCAGGTATATCTCCTGTCATGTTCAGAACCTTAGTTGGGAGAGGACATGCAGAATTCTCAACCAAGAAGCAGCAAGATGCAATGGAGTTCCTTGAACACATCTTGAAGATGACCTCATGTAACTCAGCAGGAGTCACAGACCCAGGAAACTGCTTTAAATTTGAGGTTGGTTTTAACTTTTCTTCATGAAGTTTCATTAGCTCAGGTAGTTGAATCACTTAGCACAGTGGTTCCCTAATTTTTTGATATTGTTACTCCAGGCAGTATTTTGATAGATTGCCATTACCACATTCCTCTTCGGTTATGTGAAGAAGGAAAAAATGAATCTAATTTCTTTATGCATTTTATTTATTTATTATTATTATTTTTTAATAATGACTGATATTAGTTTATGATTCATGTTTTCATTCATTATTATTATAATCTATCAATTTACTCAATGAACTATTACTATTAGACAGTACAGTGTTACCCTCCATAATCCACTTCCTCATCCCTACACAGGTAATTACTTCAAGTTTGAGGACCACTTATTTATTGTGTGGCGAACTGATTCATGTTGACAAATGTAGAAAAGGTATGAATGAGAATGAATATCTTCACAATACAAGCTATTTATTTGACCGGTTTCGATTATATCTTCACCAGAAAAACAAACTCTCTGTATTTTTGATGAAGATACAATTGAAACCAATCAAATACATCTCTTGTATTCTAAAGATATTCACCCTTATTCATACCTTTTCATTACTGTCTGTCTGTTGTTGTTGTTGTTGTTGTTGTTGTTGTTGTTGTTGTTGTTGTTGTTGTTGTTGTTGTTGTTGTTATAATATATATATATATATATATATATATATATATATATATATATATATATATATATATATATATATATATATATATATATATATATATTAAAGCTGTTTTATATATACATCTAACCTGCTGTTGCCCCTAATTTTTTACACACCTGCATATGATAGTGCAAATTCCCAATAGTAGAATGAAGAGTTATATAAATAGAATAATTGAAACTGGTTCTCAGCCATATGATCTACCTTTATATTTTGTTAATATTTTCCCCTAACACTGCCCCAATAAGAAACCTCCTTTGTAACAACACAAGTTGTAAATGTAGAATATAGAACAACAAAATAAATGCTGAATATATCGAGAATGAAATATAACTTTATAATGTTGAATTTATTTAAATTATGAATTATCATCACAGTTACTTTTGATGTTGAATGTGAAGACACGCAACAACACAAGTATCAAATGCAGAATATAGAACAACATATAATTTCTAAATTTATTGAGAAAGTGAAACCACTTTATAATGATGACCTGATTTAATAATGTCTCATTCTTAACCTCTTCCCGACGGGTCAGGCCGATAAGCATGAAAACAAACTGCTTGAAATATGGCAAAGCACAGCAAGCCGGTGATTCCGCTTGATTCGGCGCTCAAAGTCAATGAGCACTGCCAATGATCACCAGAGTGTAGAGTTTTTTTTTTTTTAGTTTCCTTAACCCGTCAGCAAGGGGTTAATTCTATAATACTCAGTACTAACTAAAAATTATAACTATTATTAATCATATTAACCCTTTGGATCTGGGTGACATGACCGTCAAGTCATGAAAAAATCTGGTCGAGGGGCAGGTGATGTGAACATGTCATCATGGCAAAAACTGGTTGTAGGCCACGTGACCTAAACCTGCTGTCATGAATGCTTTGGCTGAAATTGAATATTATGTAAAAAAATATCAAGTTACAGAAATAGTAAAGTGTTACATAGTTTTATTTTTCTTGAGTTGCAGACTACCTAGAGAGATAATATGGAGTCTGTGGAAGAAAAAAGAATTACCATCTGGATGATGCAAATCAAATGGCAAATTTGAACTTTGGAAAATGACCAAAAAGTTAAAAACACGTATGCGTAAAAAACGTAAATAACTTTGCATATTAGGAGCATAGTCTTGTCACCCCACACATGTTTATGTACGCCCAGCCTACAAGCAGCCACTAGCAGCCGCTCATGTAAGCCTAATGGGATTTGAATGCCTGAAGCAACCATATCCAGTAAGACATTGGATCTGGTTGAAAATACGGCATAAGGCTTACTTGAGTGGCAACTCTCCCCTATGTTTAGCTTGTAGGCCTCACCCACACAAACATTTGTGTGCAGTGTCAAGACTCCTTGCCTCCTCTTAGCAATGTTGTTATCTCTTTTTCTGTGTAAGAATTTTGTGCCTTTTTGGCATATTTCAAGTTGTCGTTTGATATTAGCCTATTTTCCTTGCAAAGACTCCATATCATCACTCTTGGTAGTCTGCAACTTCTTATTAGTGTAATTGAAAAAAGTATATTTGTATTCAAATTTCTGTAACACCCCCTGTACCACCAATCTCAACAAACATGGACAGGATCCTGAGCATGGAAATATTGTCCTTCCAGGAGCCAGTGCTCTTCCTGCTATGGCTCATATACTGGTGAAAATGCCACTTCCTTATCATCCTTCAAGAGGTTTGTGCACTCATGACAAATCATTCCTTTCACTCCTGCCTTCAACTTAATTTCTAATGACAACATATTCCCGTCACCCTGGCCTCAGCCAAACTTTTCCATGATGGCATATTTCTGTCACCCTGGCCCTAAGATCATTTTTTTTTCATGACCTGACATTGATGTCACCTGGATCCAATGGGTTAAATATCTTTCCATGAAATTGAACAACTGATATTATGAAATGTATATACTGTAGATGTGACTTCACTGTCCACAAAATATTCAAGTCAAACAAGGCTTCCCTGCCTCACTTGCCCTGCACAAACCTAAACAATACACATTAATGCAATGCCAATGGGCATTACGTGTACGTACGTGCTATGCCCACTGTGAGTACTTGTTTGATTGTTTTTACACATAGATGGCTACACTTGTACTAAGCCATTAACCCATTGCCGACGGGCATGCCATGCCGTGCCCACTGTGAGAGTACTTGTATGATTGTTTTTGTTTTTGCCCGTCTCGCCTGTTTACCCTTTTCTTTGATTTACGAAATATTTTATGTTATCTTACTTTGCTGTTACTAATGTTAAAAAACATTATGATAATTATATTGTTTATGATAGAAATAACACCACTGATATTCATGGCACAAGTGAAAAATACATTTTTCCTGCCATTTCAAGTCAGGCACTAACAGAGCCATGTATGGGCAGACATTTCACAAAAAAATATAGAAAATAGGCACAGCATTTTCCCCATTTTTTGTTCATTTTCCTTGGCGGCAATGGGTTAATGAGCCAATTACGAGTACTGCCTGTCTCGCCCGTTCACTCTTTTCTTTGATATACGAATATATCTTACGTTATCTTATGTTGCTGTTACTAATGTTAATAACATTATAGTAATTATAATGTTTATAATAAAAATAACACCATCGATATTCGTAGCACTAGTAAAAAATACATTTTTCCTGCCAATTCAAATCACATAAGGTCACAAAGTCTACTAATTGACTCCTTTGTGGCTATGCACTAGCAGAGACATTTCACAAAAATGTAGAAGATGAGCTCAGCATTTTTCCCATTTTTTATTTATTTTCCCTGGTAGTATGGGGTTAAAAAAAGAAACACTGTACAACTGGTGTGTTTGAAAATAGCAGGCCTTTGCATGTGTTGTAACTGTGTTGTGCACAGAAATTTCCCTTTGTGTTAACCCATTTGCGATGGGTAAAAATGAACAAAGAAATGGGGAAAATGCTTTGCTCATTTTTTATATTTTTTTGTGAAATGTCTCTA